TGCATCTTCTATAGATTCCGATCGTGGAGAACACCATTTCAATCCTCGAACACACGTTTTTCGCGTGTTGTGTATCCCTTTTCTTCGCATTAAGTGTCGCATAAAATCATGTTTTGGTTCGCTGACTCAGCTTTTGAGTTTGTCGCATTCATCACTTTTTATATTTTTTTTCAAGAAAATAAAAAAACCAAACCCAAGCAAATATTAACCACTGGAGGTACAATACTCATCACGAGTTTAGGAGACGAATTTGTGATTTTGGAATTTGGGATTCCTTGTGGAATCCTTTTGACGTATAAAGGTTAAAATCTCGTAGTCACTGCATTGAATCAATGAACCGATGACACTGTTGTTCATACATCTGCTTTCCACATTTCCTCTGATTTCCAAGAAGACAACCTTTTGCAACGCCGCCAGCCGCAGAAAGCGCGAATGAGAGTCAACATGTATTACCACAAAGATGAACACCCATCTACTATCCACTAAGCTCTTCCGATGAAAACCACAGAAACAGAGTCATGAGCCTCTCGCGGGCGGGAGTTAAAGCCTTAATTTAAGGGGTACTCACGTATTACATTTTGTGCTGGGAAACATAACACGTAACACATATGTACCCCCTATCTGCACTATATATTCATGTATAACCACCGGGTACTCCCACTCCACCTGTAATAGGAGGTTCATGAATTTGAGTCAATTTCGAATTGCTTCTATATCGGGCTTGAAGCGCTTGCGAGAATCAAAGGAATGATGCAGTCCTCCACACAGAACCTCACCCTCGGCGCGGCGTACCCAAACCCGCTCACCTATGGTGACATCGACCATTATCTCAGTGCTGTCGAGTATGACACCGAGGTCTCCCCAGAGGAGTTGCATCAGCAGATCACAAAAGCCGCGCTGAGATTCGTCCGGTCTAGGAACATCCCCGTGGACTCCAAGATCTACACGAAGGCAATCACATTCATGAATTCCAACTTCTGTCACATCAAGGGGGTCGAGAACTATCTTGCAAAGTTGCTTGTTACGAAGTAGTGTGAAAATAAAAACGATTCTTTATTTCAAGAAAGACTCTCAACAGTCTCTACACCGCAGCTCTCCCAGAACCCGACGCTCTCGGGCAGTGGGTTCCATGCCTCCCTGATCCGGAGCTTCTGTACAAACAGGCGACCGAGCCCCTGTCTCCGCATGTCTGGCCTCACCCAGATACACTCCGCGATATCGTCTTGCATGATGCAGTAGCAGGGCAGCAGGTAATCACCGGGGTCACCGTTCATGTCCACACAGAAAAGAGGATCGAGCTTGCACCCCAGACGAAACATCTCCTCGGTCTCGATTACCTTGAGTCCATAAAGTGTTTTCTCTTTGAAAGCATTCAGAATAGTGTTATACGGCACATTTCCTGGGCTGCCCTCAATGATCTGTCGGAAGATGATCCAGAAATCACCCTCGTCCTCAACCCTGAAAGCGGTGGCATCCCCGTAGTGTTCCTTCCACAACACACGCAACATCGCGTGTGAGATGCGATAATTCCTATGGAAGCTACACAAGCCTTCATACATCGGCCATTGTTCTTGCATGATGGGGTACTCAACGACTTGCCTTGAAGTTTTTTCGGGGTGGGGGGGGGGGGTATTTTTGGTACCATATACGGGTGGGGGAGGATGCTGGGGTGGGGGGTGGGGGTCGAAGAGTTTCCGAATGATTCGGAGGGGGTCCGAAGGGAAGCGAATTACAATAAACTTTAGGGGGGCTAAAGTTGCCTAGAGAAGGGGGTAGGGTAGAGGATAATGGCCAAGAGGTGGGTAGGGGTGGGGTGAAGAGGCGCAAGTCCCTGCAGGGGTGGTGATATGGAAAAGTAGGAATGAGGGGTACATGGGATGATGAAAGGAATATGGAGGGGTGGGCTAAAAGGGGGCAATGGAAGATCAGGGGTGATCTTTACTCCTGCTGCAAGAAGATACCACCACCCGTCCTTACAAAGAAGAACTGGGGTGGGTGGGGTAGTCAGCGAGTCAATCTTGGAAAAACGGATTGGTCGGGACGATTATAACAGGAGAAGGAAAGTTGTTACAAGACGACAACAACAACAAGTCTTGACGGTCTTGCGAACATCCCCCACACAACCATAACTCCGTTGACGAACAACCACACAGAAAATCATGTCCAGCGCAGACCTTGCTTGCATTCCTGCAGGCCAACCAATGGTATGTGTTCCTTGCATGCTATGAAATGTTGACTTGATGATCGAGTGACTTTCGGGTGCAGAGCAACTTGGAAAGGCTGAAGAGCCTCCAGGCTGGTCTGTCAAAGAACCTTGCGGCAGTGACTCGGACGCTCTCCGGATCCAAACAAATCATCGAGGATGCAGAGACAGAAGTCGTAAAATATTTCGCTACCGTCCCGACAGACGAGGTACGTCTCCTCTTCCTCTCCTCCCCGTCCACTCTTCACCGTGACTGACCCCCTCCTCCTCTCCTTGTCCTCCCGCTCGCTGTCCTCCTCGCTCTTGACTCCTCGCGCTCCCTCCCCCAGTTGTCATCCAAGATCGCCTTCACCTTCAAGCGCTTCGACTCCGATCAAGGCGGCTTCCTCACGAGGTATCGCCACTCCGCTACTGTCTGACGCAGCGAGCTGACGAGATCCAGGAATGACCTGGCGAGGGCGTTTGCGTTCATGGGGAAGCGGGTGAGCACGGAGGAGATCGAGGCGTTGATGGACATCTACGACACCAACCGGGACGATCACATCGACTCGGTGCTTGCCATGGACGCTGCGAGAGGGGGGAGAAGCTGATGGGACTGCATGGGTGGCAGGGGGAGTTTGAGCACATGGTGCGGGTCAAGCTCAAGATCCCTTGCAAGCCCGACTGTCAAACCTGCAAGAAGATGTTCTCGTCTCCGAGCAGCAGGCCGGGAACATCCGACACGAGCGTACGAAGTCCGTCGGTGGTTTGCAAGTACGATTGCGGTTTCACGGGGACGGTAAGGCAGGTAGCAGAGCATGAGTGTAGCTGCCCGCTGGCTCCATCATCGTCGACCTCTAACTCCAAGTTCTCCTCGAACAAGACCAAGTCAAGCCTATTCAACCGAACCCCCTCGGACCCTACGGCTATGAGGGCAAGAAGGCAGACGGTAGCACTGGCGCGCCGCAACACGAAGTTCTATCATGTGCACGACAACGAGGGTGAAAGCACAATAGAGCAACGGCTGAGGAAACTCGAGCAGACAATCTCGAGCCATGAGATCTCGATATCGCGGACGCTCTCGACAGGAAGCAGGTAGGTCATAGTACTCCCGAATCTGCTCCCTCCCTCTCTCCTTTACAGTCTCTCTCTCTCCTTGTTCACAGCCTCTCTCTATAAGCCCTCTGCGATGCTGTCTGTGCTCGCTCATTCCTTTCCTGCCCTCAGCGTCCTGGAGAACAACAGCATGGTTGTCTTCGGAAGGCTGAGCGGCCTGTCGCCAGAGAAGGTGGGCGGCTCTTCTCTCAGGGGCAGACGCTGAGCCCTTGGGTTGCAGTTCGCGCAGAAGGTGCAAGACTTGTTCAAGTCCATCGACGTCGACGGGTCCAACTCGCTCTCTCGGTACCATCCGACCTGCCGGTGAGAGGGAGGGAGTGACTGGCGTAGGTCGGAGCTGCATAGCGCGTTTGCTCGGATGGGGCATGCCATGTCGAGCGAGAGCCTGGACAAGTGGATAGCGAGCTGCGACTCGGACGGGAACGGGGAGCTGGACATGGTGGGGAGGAGGGAGCCTGGAGGAAGGCAGAGGGACGACTGAGAGATGTGTGTTGCAGGAGGAGTTTTGTCACATCGCTTGCAAGGTGAACAAGTACCGCTGCCCGGCCACCTGTCCGGTATGCAAGCGGTCACCGGAGAAGGACGTGGACGACGACAAGGCTGCGGAGGAGAAGCGAAGGCTCAACTACGCTCAGCTGATGAAAGAAGTCATAGAGCCAGTGTGCAACCTCGCAGCGATCTACATCAAAGCGCAGGACGCAGACTTCGACTTCAAGACGATCGAGCCCTTCATGGAGATCGTGACCTTCAGCGACGGCAACAGAATCTCCAAGAGCGGCAGCCTCACGGAGTCCATCATCTTCATCCTCCGCGGGCGGGTGGAGAAGCGGAAGAACAACGTCAAGCTCTCCATGCACAGCCGAGGGGATCACTTCGGGTCGCAGGAGATCCTAGAGCACAGGCCCCGACCGCACGACCTGATCGCTTGCGGGGCGTGCACGTGCTCGCAGCTGAAGCAGAGCCATCTGAAGCGAGCTGGGGTGATGCTGAAGCAGCTCGTGGAGCAGTTGGAACACACGATGCTTGATCACAGGCCGAAGGAGGCGGAAGCGACGTCGACAGTCTCACAAGGGGGCAGCGCTATCAAACCGATCGCTAACAAGATTGAGATAGTTCACAAGAAGCAAGAAGCTGCGCCAGGAGCTGGAGGGATAGACAGCCCGAACACCAAGAAAGATCTTCAAGACGTTCTGAGTCAAGTTGGGTCCCTGCTGGCTCGCGTGCCCTCCTTGAAAGCGACCAACGCCTCCTTCTTCGGCTCCCTGAGCGGGTTGAGTGGGATGGAGGTATTGACATTGACTGATCCCCTACTACCTTCTTTCCCTCCCTCCTTACCTCTTGCTCTCCCGGTCCCTCTCCTCCCTCCTTGTCTGCGCCCTCGCTCCTACCTCCTTCCTCCCTGACCTGGGGTGTTGCAGTTCTCTGCCAAGCTCAGAGAGATCTATGACGTGATGGACGCGGACAAGAGCGGCAAGATCGACCGGTAGAGTAGCACACGCAGCGGGGCGCGAGGGGCTGACGGGGAGCAGGAACGAGATCCAGGATGCTTTCCGCAAGATGGGGAAGGAGATCTCGGATGAGACGCTGGACAGCTTCATCGAGCAGACGGACGTGGACGGGGACGAGCAGATCGACCTGGTGAGAGACCAGAGAGACGAGCGGAGGAGGGAGAGGAGGAAGTGACGGCGAGAGCAGGAGGAGTTCGAGCACCTTGCGAGGGCACTGTACGAGCTTGACTGCGTGGAGGGCTGCAAGGTGTGCCGGATGTTCCCTACGTTGCAACGTGAAAAGAAAGCAAAGATGAGAAGCATGATAGAGACGGTGAGGCGCGGGAGTGTGAGTGAGGCTGTGACGGAGAGTCTGCAGTCGAGCCTGCAAACTTTCTCGACGACGCTGATGGACGGGTGGGCGCTACAAGATCAGCTGAAGGGGATGATCGATGACAGCTTCACTCGCCACTACTCCACTGAAGCCACCCTCGTCGACTCCTCCTCGTTCTCCTCCTCGTCCTCCTCCTCGTCCTCCTCGTCAGTGGTCAGATCCAACAGCGATCAGTGAGTTGCTTGATGTTGCACCAGAGCGATGACGATCGGAGCAGGTCGAACTTGCGTGTCTCATCATCTTCCGACGACAACAAGCAGGATGAGGAGAGGAAGGAGGAAGTCGCGCCAAAGCTCGAGAGCAGAGAGGAGCGGATGCGACGCATGGCAGACGAGCTTAAGATGGAGTCAGCCAAGATGCACAACAGGAGGAGAAACTCCGAGCTCCATGTGAGTCTCTTGTGCGAGGCCTGTGCCCGCCTGCTGACGCTGCTGCTGTCTTGCTGTGACTGCAGCACATCGAGTTCCGCAACAAGATCGACAGGGACATCAACTTGGCCAAGAGCTACGAGAAAGGAGCGGTAGGAGAGGGGAGAGAGAAGCGAGAGGAGGAGGCGGGAGGGGGACTCGGGAGGAGGAGGGGGAGGGTGCCTGACGGTGCTGGCAGGGAGGGTCGGGCATGACGCAGGCACAGCAGACTACCAACGAACTTCTGCACATGTTTGAGAAGGCGAAAAGGTTAGGGTATGTGAGGGACGGTGAGGATGTAGAGTAGAAGACAATAAATGAACGTGTGATGATGTTTCCATTTTGTCATCAAGCTGAGAACTCCTCTTGCCCCTGCTCCTGCTCGACTCACCGGCTGCAAGCCTTCCTCTCCCTCCCTCCCCTTCCCCCACGATGCTGCATGGTCACTACCAAGTCAAGGTACCCTGAGGATTTTAATCTCCTTCATCGCCCCCTTCTCCTGCCACATCGGCCCCGCATCGTCGCCATGGCCTCAGGTCGCTCATCGTCGCCATGGCCTCAGGTCGCTCATCGTCGCCGTGGCCTCAGGTCGCTCATCGTCGCCATGGCCTCAGGTCGCTCATCGTCGCCGTGGCCTCAGGTCGCTTATCGTCGCCGTGGCCTCAGGTCGCTCATCGTCGCCGTGGCCTCAGGTCGCTTATCGTCGCCGTGGCCTCAGGTCGCTCATCGTCGCCATGGCCTCAGGTCGCTCATCGTCGCCATGGCCTCAGGTCGCTCATCGTCGCCATGGCCTCAGGTCGCTCATCGTCGCCATGGCCTCAGGTCGCTCATCGTCGCCATGGCCTCAGGTCGCTCATCGTCGCCATGGCCTCAGGTCGCTCATCGTCGCCATGGCCTCAGGTCGCTCATCGTCGCCGTGGCCTCAGGTCGCTCATCGTCGCCGTGGCCTCAGGTCGCTCATCGTCGCCATGGCCTCAGGTCGCTCATCGTCGCCATGGCCTCAGGTCGCACATGCTCCATCACTCTGCTCGCGATCCGCTTGAGCCTCTCGTGCGACTCATAGCGAGAGACGGGCAGGAAGATGATATGCTCCATCATCCACTTCACGCACGGCAGCCGCTCCTCCTCCTCCTCCTCCTCCTCCTCCTCCTCTCCCCCTTCCCTCCTTCTTGCCCCTTTTTCCACCTCTTCCTCTCCTCTTCTCCTGCTTCTAGCTTCCTCCTCCTCTCCTTTGGTCCGCCTTCGCCTTGTTCTCTTCACCAGTGTGATCTGCGTAGATCCTGTGCTTGCGTCGATGCCATCTGCCTGCGTTCACCACACGTGTGAAGAGACGAGGGAGAGGAGAGAAGAGGAGTGGAGAGGAGAGGAGAGGAGCGGAGGAGCCAAGGGACCTGAAGCTTGGTGACGAGCGAGCGAGGGTTCTTGACGAGTATGGGAAAGATCCAGAAGGAGTGCGACGAGGCGTCGAGGCCTGGCAGGAGGATGTTGGAGCCCACCAGCGGCTGAAGCAGCTTCACCATCTTCTGCCAATCACGAGGGATAAGAAAGTAGTAGGAGCAGGAGCAGGAGCAGGAGCAGGGAGGCAGGAGGCAGGAGGCAGGAGGCAGGAGGCAGGAGGCAGGAGGCAGGAGCAGGGAGGCAGGAGGCAAGAGCAGGAGCAGGAGCAGGAGCAGGAGCAGGAGCAGGAGGCAGGAGGCAGGAGGCAGGAGCAGGAGCAGGAGCAGGAGGCAGGAGGCAGGAGGCAGGAGCAGGAGCAGGAGCAGGAGCAGGAGCAGGAGCAGGAGCAGCAGGAGCAGCAGGAGCAGCAGGAGCAGCAGGAGGAGGTTACCATGCCGCACGTCCTGTTGTCTTGGTTGCCCCCGTTCAAGTGTCTTTCCATCCTCACGAGCATGGAGCGGAGGAGGGCGAGGCAGGGCCTTCGAGCGACTTTGCGGAGGAGATGGTGGGGAGAGACGTGCCTAGAGGATGTGAGGGGCAGAAGAAGCGAGCTGCTGCTGTCACCTGCCGAAACTTCGGACGAGGCCGACGAAGAGCCTCTGGTGGTCGACACCGAGGAGGCGGAGGATGAATATGATGAGCCCTGGGTACCAGGTCACAGGGACGGGAAGGGAGGAGGAGGAGAGCGCACAGAGCGGGAAGGGTCGTTGCAGGCAAGTGAGGATGAAGAACTTGAGACATCGGAAGAAGTAGCTGACGGTCCTCTGCCCCGACCACCTTGACACTCTCAGGTCAGAACAAGTCAGAGGAAAGGAGAGCAGAGGAGAGCAGAGGAGAGCAGAGGAGAGCAGACGCAGGGACCACCGCGCATGTTGCTTCCTCAGCCTCCTGCAGAGCTCCTCCTCCTTCACTTTCATGATTGCCCCCTGCTAACTTGTCAGGCCAATGAAGAGCAGCAGGAGGAAGAAGGAAGCGGCAGCGGTGGTATAATAGGAGGGAAAGAGGAGGAGGAGGAGGAGGAGGAGGAGGAGGAGGGAGGGGGGAGCTGACCTGGAAGGCTGTCGCATACTTGATGGGGCCGAAGCTGAACAAGCTGACATCCACGTCCGGATGCCCCTGGTACTTGACGGGAGTCAGACGGCAGCTGCGGGTCACGTGGCCTCACCTGAGAGCTATCGAGAGCCTCCGCGCAATCCTCGACAAGGAAGAGACCATGCTCTCTCGCGATGCGAACAATCTCCGTCATGTCGTTCCTGTCATCATCTTCAATCTCTTCCTCCTTCTCACGATTGTCTTCATCATCTACATCATCACCATCACCGTGAATACATCATCATCATCATCGTCATCATCATCATCATCATCATCATCATCATCATCATCATCATCATCATCATCATCATCATCATCATCATCATGTTGATCATCATCAACAACAACAACAACAACAATAACAACATCATCAACAACACCCCAGCTTACCTCGCTCCATAAACATGTGCGATGAAGATCATTCGAGATCGGCTGGTCACGGCGGATCGCTGGCGGGCAGGTCAGGTCGGTCAACCACGTTGGACTCACCAGCTGCTGCATGTCGACATGGAGAGTGTTGATGGAGAGATCGACGGGGATGCAAACCTGAGAAAAGGTGAAGAATCGAAGAGGACGTGGGAAGAGGAGAGGGAGGAGCAGCAGCAGGAGCAGCAGCAGCAGGAGCAGGAGCATGGACTTGTTTCGTCGTCTGTTACCAGCCCGTGGAGCTCGAGGATCGCGGGGATGTCAGGGATGTTCAACGCTGAGATGAGAACCTCCGACCCTCGAGGAAGAGACAAAGTCTGCAAGAGAAGATGCAGCCCGCTGAGCGACAAGTCAGAGCGAGCAGCAGGAGAGGAGAGGAGGGGAGGGGAGAGGGGGAAGGGGTGAGGGGGAAGGGGAGAGGGCAACTAGAGGAGATGAGGGCAGTAAGGGTGTGAAGGTATTTGCCTCTACTCCTCTCTCCTCTCATTCCTTACCTGCGGACTGACAGCAAAGGGATCGAGTGATTCGCTCCTCCCCACAGGTTCACTATCGCCTCCTCCACTTCCTGCCTCTTCGTCTCTTGCCAAGACAAACAAGCCCGCATGCCGAAGAAAGCATCGCCGGGACCAGCATGTATCTGATTGACAACAAGGAGAACAAAAGACGCTTCAATCAAATAGTCCTCCTCCTCCTCCCCTCCTCCTCCTCCCCTCCTCACCTGAAGTGCGCAGTATTGTCGGAACCTTTCAGGAATCATGCCCAGCGTCGTCAATCGGACCTGCCTCTACATATCGACAGCTGACAGACTCTCGTCGCATCGCTGGATCGACATGGCGAGAGTCACCGGAGGACTTGGCAGATCTGAAGTCACCGTCAACTTGAAGCTCATGGTGTGGTTGCCTCTTTTTCTCGTCGCTCTTCTCGCTCTTCTCGTCTATTTCACATCTTGACTCCAGCCACTTCCTCTGCATGTTCTACCAGAGCCCTGACGGGAGATGCCATTGACTAGCTCCCTCTGATCCCCTCACGACATGTTCTCCCTTCCCTTCTCCTTTCACTTCGGTCTCTTCGCCTCTCCCTCCCCTCTCCCTCTCCATTCGCTTCGTTTGTCCTACATAAATTCCTCCTGTTTCCATGGTGACGCTACAAACTTGAAAAATCAAGCCCGCCTCACCTTGGGAATTTTATCTTTTCCGCGAGGGGAACATGGATGGATCACTTCGGTTCAATTGCAATCAATTATTGAAATTTAATAGTAATATATCATCTTTGACACGAAATATATGAAATAATTGTGAATATTTGAAAATATTCAGGCGCACGTGAAGAGTGGGATGGAGGGGAAGAATGGTGTAGAGGGGGACCAACAGGTCGGGGAGGAGGAGAGGGAGGAGGAGAGAGGAGAGAAGAAGAGAGAGGAGAGAAGAAGAGAGAGGAGAGACTATAAGAGAGAACAGAGAGAAAAGAAGAGGAAGCAGGAGTGAGGATGCGCAGCGAGAAGAAGGAAGGGGGAGGCAGGCAGGTCAAGAAAGGGCAAGTGAAAGGGACCGAGAGGAACGCGTGGCTGAGTGAAACCGCAAGAGACTTGAACCTGACAGGCTCGTGTTGCAGGTCATTCTGGTCAGAAGTTCAATGGCGGCGAGACGAGGGCGAGGAGGGTCGGGATCTGCTCAGAAACAGGGGAGAGGAGCTGCTAAGGGAAAGTTTGGGGGAGAGGGTAAGGTCAGGAAGAATCCAGGCACATTCAAGGGAAGAGGAGGAAAGAGTGGCGGCAACAGATCGTTTGAAAGCCATGGAAAGAAAACCAGATCGATTTTGAGAAGAAGAAGAATTTCCATGACCACAACAAGGGAAAAGCGAATTTTGAGAAGGGCAAGTCTCCTGCAAAGGGAAAGAAGTTTTTCAAGAAGAAGGGAAGAAGAGATGAGGAAGACAGAGATTCAGATGACGTCGAGGAGGAGTTGGACATTGATGAGGGTGTGACAGACGAAGAGACAGAGCACCAGGGGAACAACAGCTCAGCGGATGAGAGCGACGACGTTGGAGGGAGGATGGAGGACGTGGAGGAGGATGCGTTCGACTCGAAGCAGAGCTTTCCCAGCATTGCATCGACTCAGCAAGAGGAGGGAGGGGAGGAGAAGGGGAAGAAGAAGTCAAAATCAGGAGGCTTCGAGTCCATGGGCTTCAGCTATCCCGTCTACCGAGGAATCAAGATGAAGGGATATAAGGTCCCCACCCCCATCCAGAGGAAAACCATCCCCCTCGTCCTCCGCGGTCACGATCTGGTCGCCATGGCCCGCACAGGGTCGGGCAAGACAGCTGCCTTCCTGCTGCCCATGTTCGAGAGGCTCAAGGAGCACTCGGTCAAGGTCGGCATCCGCGCACTCATCCTCTCCCCCACCCGCGAGCTCGCGCTGCAGACGCTCAAGTTCGGCAAGGAGCTGGGCAAGTACACGGGGCTGAGGATGGCGCTGCTAGTGGGGGGCGACAGCATGGAGGATCAGTTCGCAGCGCTGGCGCACAACCCGGACGTGGTGATCGCGACGCCAGGGAGGCTGCTGCATCACCTGGAGGAGGTGGGGCTGACGCTGCAGTCTGTGCAGTACATCGTCTTCGACGAGTGCGACCGGCTGTTCGAGATGGGGTTCGCTGCCGAGCTGCGAGCCATCATGAAGAAGGTGTCGGACAACCGGCAGACCCTCCTCTTCTCCGCCACCCTCCCTGCCGCCCTCGCCGAGTTCGCTCGAGCAGGGCTCAAGGATCCGGAGCTGGTCAGGCTAGACGTGGAGACGAAGGTGTCGGATCAGCTGAGAATGGCGTTCCTGTGCGTGAGGGCAGAGGAGAGAGACGCGGCGCTGCTGTACCTGGTGAAGAACAAGATCAAGCAGGGGATCAAACCATCATCTTCGTCGCCACCAAGCATCATGTCGAGTACGTCCATGCTCTCCTCGCATCGGTCGGCATTGAGGCCTGCATGTTGTATGGGGCGATGGACCCGGCGGCCCGCAAGATCGCCATCGGGAGGTTCCGGGCGAAGCTCTCGCAGTACCTCATCGTGACCGACGTGGCTGCTCGCGGCGTTGACATCCCGCTGCTGGAGAATGTGATCAACCACAACTTCCCCGGCAAGGCCAAACTCTTCGTCCATCGAGTAGGACGCGCGGCAAGGGCAGGAAGGAGCGGAACAGGTGAGCGGAGGAGGTTGGGGTGGAGGATGTGAGTGGAGGAGAAGAGCTGACAGGGCCGCAGCGTACTCGCTCGTGGGCCCGGAGGACGTGGCGTTGATGATCGACCTCCACCTGTTCCTCGGACGACCCCTGCAGACGTCGGACCAGTCGGAGGAGGAGAACTCGTTCGAGGCCTTCTACGGTAGGATGCCGCAGTCCCTGCTCGACGAGAGTCAGGAGATCGTCCAGCGGCTGCTGCACGACAACTCAGACCTGGCGGCTGCTCTCGCGGTCGCTCAGCGAGCGCTGGGGCTCTACAAGAAGACGATGGAGAAACCTTCGTCGCAGTCGATCCGGAGGGCCAAGGAGATGGACGAGGATGCGATCCACCCCTGGTTCCTCTCCGACGTTGACGCGTGCGAAGTCGCCGGGCAAGGGCGTCAGTTTCTCAAGGCCCTCCAGCATTTCCGCCCCCAGCAGTCGGTGCTGGAGGTTCACGACGGCACCAAGAAGGTGGCGGCCTCAGTGTCGCAGCAGATGCGAGCTCAGTTCTCCTCTGCCGTCGAGGCTCGTCGGCGAGCGCAGCAGTACCTGTCGATGACCGAGCAGATCAAGCAAGACCTCTCCGAGGAGCTGGTCGAGTCCCGCTCGCCTCCTCCCCTCGAGGACCATGCAAGCCAGAAGCGCGAGAGGCCGAGGGCCCTGAGCTCGGAGCCCAAGAAGAAGAGGAGCAGGAGCGCGATGGAAGAAGCGAAGCGACGGGACATGGAGAGCTTCCGGCTGGCGGGAGAGAAGGCTGACGCCAACACTGAGAAGGGGCTGACCATCCGCGAGGCTGCCAAGGACAGGCTGCAGAGCATCGAGCAGATGATCTTCGAGATGGACCCGGACGAGGAGGGGACGCTGCTGAAGAAGAGAGCTGTGCTGCGATGGGACTCGCGCAAGAAGAAGTTTGTCAAGGACTTTGACAGGACGCAGGACAAGACAGACGGGAAGGCGCGGATGAACGAGGCAGGAAAGAAGATCAAAAAGGGATATCGTCTTGGCCTCTACGACAAGTGGAAGGAGAGAAGGTCTGCTGCTCCTCCTGCTTTCCCCCCCCTCCCCCCCGATGTGCTTCCCTCCTCGTGCTGACACGAATGTCCCTGCAGCAAGGCGAGGATTCAGCTGGAGGGCGAGGAAGAGGACAGCTCTGTTCATCAGTCGCTTCCAGACTTCCGCAGCCGCAGGTCTCCTGCCTCCGCTCCTTCCCCCTCGTCTGAGAGCTGACGAGCGCGCAGGTTCAGGCACAACAAGGGAGAGGCAGCGGCTGGAGGAGAAAAGCGGGGCCCGAGAGACGAGCTCAAGAGCAAGGATCAGATCAGGAAGGAGCGAGAGAAGAAACAGAATCTCAAAGAGAAGAACATGCCCAAGGCTCTTCGCAGGCTAGTCCCATCCACATCCTCGTCCCCTCCCTCACCCCCTCTCCTCATCTTCTCTCCCTCGCCTTCACCTTATGGCATCATGTGTCTGATGACGATGCGTGCAGGAGGCTCGAGCAGAAGAGAAAAGAAGCCAACAAGGGCCCGAAGGTAACTCTCCCCTCCTCGCCTGTCCTCCCTGCCTCCCTGCCTCGCCTGCACCCTCGCCTCACCTCCTCCTTTTCCTACAAGTTTACCCTCTTCATCTACCCCCCTCCTCCCTCCCTCGACACATGTCCTATCACCATGCACTGATTGTTGTCCAATAGGGCAAGCCTCATATCACAAAGGCCTCGATCCGCAAGTCCAAACGATAAGGAGGAAGCGGAGGAAGAGGAGGAGGAGGAGGAGGAGGAGGAGGAGGGTGTAAACTTTGATCAATACAACAAGAATTTCACAACTTTGAGATGTAAACAAGGGTTATTTATTCACTCACACTTATACTATATTACATCACATCGAGGCTGCTATGTACATCCTGAACTAGGTCTAGCTCTTTCAAACCTTCTCCTTGTGACCGCAGCTAATTATACGGTCCTCTGCTTCCTCCCGCAAGGCTTCTACCTTACAGCGAGCAGAGAGGATGTTTTGCAGCACGAAAGACTTGCGAGGCGCCGGGGAGGACGTCGGAGATCTGGTGCTGAGAGCGCTGGGGAGGGAAGGCTCCACGAGGGTGATGAATCGAGCAGGTCGGGCTTGGATGGTCATCGAGACAGACGAAGGGAGAGGAGGACTGATTGTACACGAGGAGACGTCGAAGAGAGTTCGACCGTGATGGCGTGGCAGTGGCAGGTGATGGGAGAGGAGGCGGTGAAGGAAAGAAGAAGAGGCGGCGGGGGGGGCAGGTACGTGCAAACGATTAGGAGCAAAACCGCCACGAGGTTGTGAACTTTTGTTTGCTGAAACGGAACGGTTCACATCCGTACGGTAACTCCTGCTGCGATCACGAGGTTCTCGCACGAGCTGTTTACTACACCGGCTGCCTCCTTCAACAGCCACGTGCCCAGTCATGGCGGGTGATTAGACCGACTCCTTGGCCCGCTTGTCCCCACGTGACATTCACTTCTCGTACATGAAAAGGAGTCTTTTCGGATGTTGACCAGGAGCAAACGAGCTGTAAGGGTGGGCTTCCCTTTCCCCTATTTCCCTCCCCCGCTCTGGCTCGTCAGTTCAGTCTTACCATGGCACTCAAACCTGTGCGCGGGGCTGCTGGCATGCAAAGACCAATAGCCTCGATGATATCTATAACCGATGAAAGTTGGTACTTGACGACTCATTCCTCGATCGATGCTGTCAGGCAAGACAAACCTACCAACTTTGTTCTGAACAACATACTGAATGCGAGGAAGAAGTTAGATTGTCAAGTCCTGGCATGACCCTATTCACATCTCTAGATATGCGGCTTGTCCTGAATCGCATCGCTGGATCAGCAGCCCTTATGTTCATAGGCTCGTTTGTCTCTTGTATTCTTTCTCGTCTTCTTTTCTACCGTATAATTGATGTTGTAAATACATGAACTAAAACCGTAAGTCAAAGTAGATTGTTGATGCCGCATGTCAATCATTCTTGTATCATGCAATACAAGATGGAGCCTTGATCCAAATGCGTTTGAACCAGAACTGCTCTGCCAAACTATGGGCAGGGCTTGAGCAGTACAGAATATAAAGAACACTCTGTACTTTTGTGCTCTGACGAGATGCCTAGGCAGACAGGGTCTTGATCGTGGTCGTCTTGTTGCCTTGGCCTAGGGGAAGCTGGGTGAAGAGTGAACATATCACAATCAAGCAGGAAGCCTTGTCGCCTGATGACGCGATATCATATCGTTTACTGACAATGGTGAGTTTGAAGTGGTCACCCGGGGCTCTACCTCGTTTCAATTCCCAACCTCTCTTCAATTCTATTATCAGCTATCTCACAGCTATCAGTGACGTGCCGGATGGTCTATAGCCAAGAATTCAAAGACCTTGTGCTGAATCCTTCAAAGATACACACCTTGCACTTCCATCGTGCGAGCGTGAAAGTCGGCGGCCTCAGCAATGACTCCCAACGTCGTCGACGGACAATACTGACCTCTTCATCGCTCGTGCTGTTGTTCCTTCATGAAACGGGGGCTCTGACTTCGACTCGCTTTCGCATCGGTTCAATCCCTGTCACGTTACCTACTCCGAAACGTTGCGATCTAGAGAGCCATTCCACAAGTTCCAAAAGCGCCTCGTTTCACCTACTTCCTACCGGTCGTCCTCGTTGCTAGGTTTACGCCATCGATGAAGCTTTGTCCTCCCCCCGCCTCTAGGAGATCAGTGCGCCTTGGCAACGTAAGCTGGACGGAAGCTGGACCTCCCAGTCAGCAGTACATCGCCGACCAGACGCAGTCAAACTTCGTGCTGGCAAACATTCTTGCTGCCAGGAAGAGATGCAGGTCGAACAAGAGCAACCGCAAAGTCGACAACATCTGCACGTTGTCATCGCCATGACATCTCCTTCAAGCACGGAATAACTTGTGCTGCAAAAACAATACGTTCAAATGTGCAAGTAGGAAAAACGATTCGATATGCGTCTTCAAATGCGGACATGTTTCTATGTAATTTAGTTCCAACAGACTCTTCAGGTAGGCATCACTAATATCACGATGAATAAATATTACAGACACCAACTCATCAAACCAACAAGAATTTCAATCATCTTTGACTATTCTCATCATCTCATCATTTGAAATGAAAAACCTGCTCCTATTCGAATTTCAACATGAGTGTTTCGAGCAACATTGATCCCTAATCCTATCTTCCAATGTTCCCTCTCTTCCCTCTCTTCCCTCCCCTCCCCCTCCTTGTACAGCTCAAACATCACTCTTAGGTCAACACGCAGTTGGTTCTGTGACGTTCTTGCTTGAGCTGCTGCACTTTGTTAACGTGAACTACATTTCTATCCTCATCTCCACCAGCGATGTCGTTCACTATCTGGCAGCCATCTCTTGTTTCCTGTCCATCTATCGAGAATCATCTTCTTTCCTGCTACTTTCTGCTTCCTGCTTGTACCATCTGCAAGCTTGAGTGGCTTCATCCATCGGCTCCTCGTTCCTTCTGTTTCCGCGACCTTCTCCACCTCTCTTGCGCATCCTGTCGCAACTCGATATCTCCTCAACTGAAGCCTTTTGTGCTCGCGGGTTTGCTTTGTTCTACTTCTGAAGGCACATATGACGTTCCCTTCAATCCTCCTCCTTCAAGAATCTTGCCCGGATTCCTCTCAGTCTGTTCCAGTCCCCTTCAACCCTCTACCGGCCTCCTCTCCCCTCCCACCTCTCTCTCCAGGAGAGACTGACAAGCCTCCCTACACCATCACAGTCTACACGTCTGTTCCGACCATGTTCCGAGCAGGTCACAGTCCGAGTTGCCGCCAGTTGGGTTCCGAGCGAGTTCCATTCCGGGTAAGTGAGGGGACGAGGTCCCGTTGGGATCCTGGCTTCGAAGTCTTAGCCAAGCCCTAGCTGCCCTAGGAATTGAGGTCCTAGTATCTGTCAAATGCCACGACATGAGTAGGCTGAGCAGTCATGAAGTGAGGATCCGGGGAGGAGAGGAGAGGAGAGTAAGAGAGCAGGAGAAGGAGGGAAGGAGGAGGAGAGAGAGAGGGAGCATCTGGTGAGCAAGGATCAGACACTGGAGCATGAATCAGACAAGCGTCAATCACGCATACTGTTGCCTTGCAGGCTTAGTGATGTGAATGTTGATGGTGTTGTTGCAGGATGCCTTGAAGGAGCAAGCCATTGCGTGAATATTCAAAGTTGACAAGTGAATGCTCTGCATCAAGTTTGACAAGTGACAATCATGGACTCTCTCAAGCTTCTCCAAGCTCTCGCCCTCCTCTTTGTCTTGACATCTGCTGTGGCCACGTCGAGCGACGGGTCTGATGTGTACGAGTGGGCTGCTGCCAACGGAGCGAACGTGAGCAAGGTGGTGCTGAGAGATGACGGGGAAGCAGGTCCAATCCTTCACGCGAAGGAAGACATCGAGGCAGGCGAAGTGATCCTCTCGCTGCCAGCGAACCTTCTCTTCCCTACACGTGTCTCCGATCACTCTCCGGTCGTGCACATGATTGAGAACACAACCATCGGAAGGATCACCGCCATCTGCTTGTACCTCATCTCCGAGAGAGCTGACTCCAGCTCTCACTGGAAACCATGGCTGCAGTCGCTCCCTCCTCGCTTCTTCCACGCGCTGTCCTACAGCGAGGACGACATGCTTCACTTCCAGGCCTCGTCGTTCAAGGAGCTGCGAGACAGGAAGAAGAAGAACGTCCGACAAGAGTACGAGCAGACCGTCGCTCCTCTCCTCCACAAGCTCCCAGCCTTCGACCCTCTGCTCGCAGCAGTCGACAAGCCTCAAAATGTGACGAGAGAAGACTTCACGTACGAGGCCTTCGAGTGGGCTTACTCGGTCGTGACCACTCGCGGCATCTTTCCCGGGCTGCTGGGAGAGGAGGAGAGAGAGGGAGAGGTTCCACTGCTCGTCCTCGGCCCCCTCGCCGACAGCTTCATCCATGGCGCCAGCGGGGTCAAGATCTCCTACGACGCCCAGGAGCATCGCTGCGTCTTCTCTGCCCTGCACAAGGTGGCCAAGAACTCTCCCATCTCCATCGGCGTCGGTATGTCCTCTAACATGGAGCTGCTCGCCAACCGCGGATTCATGATGCAGAACAACGGGAACAACTTCGTGCTGATGAAGTTCCAGCTTGACAGGAACAGCGACATGCACGCGAGCGCGAGAGAGTCGATGATGAAGCAGCTGAATCTCTCCAACCCCATGACGTACGTCGTCAGGTATGGCGAGATGCCGCAGGGCCTCCTCGCCAGCCTGCGCATCCAATCGCTCTCTCCTGTAGAGTTCGGGTCCTACGGCAAGGCTCTCGCTACCCCCGTGACGCTCGAGAACGAGTGGCGGGCATATCGGCTGCTCATCTCCTCGTGCAACAGCATCCTCGCCATGTACCCCACGTGAGCTCACGCGCATGCGGCTCGCGGCTGACAGCTGACGGATGAGAGCAGGACCATCGAGGAGGACGAGATTGTGCTGACACAAACGAAGACGAGTAGACACCTGCGAGCTGCTGTCCTGCTAAGAAGAGAGGTACGTGCCGCTCGCTCCCCCGATGACTCCTCCACTCTCCGCAATTCTCGTCCTCGTCCTTCTCTGAGGCGCAACCGACGCAGGAGAAGTTGATCTACGAGTCGATCAAGACGTGGGCCAATGGTGAGAGAAATTCGTCGACTCCTCCTCCTCCTCCTCCTCCTCCTCCTCCTCCTCCTCCTCCTCCTCCTCCTCCTCCTCACTCCTCCTCCTCACTCCTTCTTCTCCTCACTCCTTCACCTCTCCTTCCTCTCCCTCTCCCTCACATCCTCGCAGACGCCTGGGCTTCCATTCTGTACGCATCCGCTGCTCCTGCCGACGGGTCTAGCTCCCAATGAGGAGAGAAGGAGGAGGAACAAGAAGGAGACAGTAAGAGTTTCTCGAGAAAGAGGATGAGCTGAGGTGACTTGGAACTTTACGCACACTATCTTAACAAACGCCTACTTGGGCTTCTCCCCCACCAACAAGCATCTTTTCGCTCACGAGGCTGAGCTCAGATCGGATCTCTCTTGACGTCAGCGATGAGGTCGCGGATGTCTTCCATCTTCACTCGTGGGGCTCCAGCAGACCAGTCAGCCTCGTCCAGCCTCTCCCTTGCCCGCTCAACCCACCACCTGCTCATGCCTTCACCTCCTCAGGTCCTCTTCCTCTCTCCGCCTCCCCCTCCCTCCCTCTCCCTCTCCTCCAACCACCTTGTCCAGCTCGTTCCTCCTCCTCACCTCTCGTCATCAGAGCTGCTGGCGCATCCGGTCTCTTTCCTCTTCTCCTCGTACCTCTGGTGGTACTCGCGCGCTCGCCTGAAGTTTCCGGCGAGCAGAGAAGCATCGCCGAGCCACTTGAAGCAGGCGCGAGTCTCAGCAGCCATCGCTTGCTCCTCGGCGATGCTCAACGCCTTCTCCAGCTGCTCCGTCGCCTCTCTCAGGGCGCGACGAGCGAAGTACCGCTTGCCCTGGTTGAAGTAGAGGAAGAAAGCTTTGCGGTGCTCCTCCTTCTCGTCCTCCTCCCGCCGCCCAAAGTAACTGACAGAGAACGTCAGGAGGGTGTCAGGGGAAGCAAGGGAGAGACCTGAGCTGCTGCTGCTCTACGCTTCTCCTCCTCTCTCGCATCATCGTCTCGTAGGGAAATGTGAGCTGCTGCTTGTCTGTCGGCCACAGCACGTCGCTTGTGAGCCTCCTCGTCTTGTAGAAGAGCGCGTCTTGCTTGCTCCTGCTGTACAGAAACTCTTCCTCTTCCCACTTGCGCGCGTCTGACGTCACGCGCTCGAAGCCTTGTCGGGGGTAGAGCTGCTGGCGAGCGACGCTCAGAGTTTCTTCCTGCCGACCACACGACAAGATCAGACGACATCAGATGACACCACAAGATCAGACGACATCAGATGACACCACAAGATCAGACGACATCAGATGACACCACAAGATCAGACGACATCAGATGACACCACAAGATCAGACGACATCAGATGACACCACAAGATCAGACGACATCAGATGACGCGACAAGATCAGACGACATCAGATGACACCACAAGATCAGACGACATCAGATGACACGACAAGATCAGACGACATCAGATGATGAGATCCCAGCCGAACTCACGTGAAGCCGAAGTGAGGTAGAGAAGAACAAGACACCCTGCCCCTCCTGCCCCTCCTGCCCCTCCTGCCCCTCCTGCCCCTCCTGCCCCTCCTGACCCTCCTGCCTCTCACTGCTTCGAGGCAGCAGCGTTGTTGCATGCTCTTCGATCTTCCCTGCAACCAACGACGTTCGGAGCTGAAGGGGCTGACGGGAAACTTCAGCGATGCCTGCAGATCGCAGCGGAGGGCGACAAGTGCTGGCCATGTTGAGCGTCCTGCCGGCGAAGGAGGAGGAGAGGGAGGAGTGGTGGAGGGAGAAGGAGGAGAGGGAGGGAGCTGCGGCCTCCTGTGCTAGCTTCATGTTGCTTCTGACAATCTCTTCTCGCTCTCGCAGCATGTCACGCAGCTTGAGGGAGAGGTCGAGGGTCACTCCCCCGATGAAGTCGTTCCCGTCCTCGTCCCAGTCGTAGACGAGGAGCTCGAGCTCGGAGTCAGGCGAGAAGAGGTCCATCAGGAACGTCTCCTCCCACACGGGGTTCAGCGTTCGCATCTTCCGGCTCGTGACGTGCTGGGAGACAACTCTCCTCCTCCCCGTCGTCCCGTCCTTGAGCAGCATCTCACAGAAGGGATCTGAGCTCCCCGTCAGCCCGTCCTTCACCGCAAGGCCCTCCGCTCGCTTGATGCAGATCTTGAGCGTGGCCAAGGCCTCCTTCCTCCTTCGCACTTCTTCCTTCCTCCCTCGCACCGCTCCGGCATGAGGAGCGACAGGACAGAGAGAGGAGATGGTGGCGGCAGCGTCAGTCTGGCCCCTTCGGTGAAGTTCTTCTTCCACATCCTTCAAGAGGCGGAGAGCATCACCAGCCGTTGGGACACGTTCAAGCAGGAGGAGAACCTCGTCCGGTCTGCTTTGACGAGCCAACAGCAGCAGCTCCTCCTTTAGCCTCTTGCTCGACGTCCCCGTCCTCACCGGCGGTTCAATCACATCCTGACTAGCTCTCCACTCCATTAAGGAAGAGGCAAGTTGAGAGCCTCTCCCTCTCCCTCTCCCTCTCCCTCTCCTCCCTCTCCCTCTCCCTCTCCCTCCCCCTCCCCCTCCCCCTCCCCCTCCCCCTCTCCCTC